TTCAGGTCCCCCATGACTACCACATCCCTAGCTTTTACTACCTCAGTGAGCTGACCCAAGAATTCCTGGTCAAGCTTCTCTGCTTGGGTAGGGGGTCTATAGTAGACTCCCACCAATAGGTCCCTTTCCCCTCTTCTGCCTTGAACCCTAACCCAAAGCACCTCAGAGTGCTTCTCCCCTGTTGGAGTTGGACTGTCCTGTTACACTCTCCTTCAGGTTTTCAGTTTGGCTTGATGAGGTTTTCCTTCTTGATGGAATCTTTCTTTTTTACTATAATTATATTTCAAAGACCTTCCTTTTTCCCCTCTTCACCTCCTAGAAAATTAATTGGAAGAGCCAAAGGCACAGACTTAAAAAGATCTAAGCAAGGGGGACTGCAGTTTTGTTGTCACTATAAAAATATCTTCCCAAAGACCAGTTAACTACCCCCCACCACAAAATTCCCTTGTTAGTCTGTGATAAGCCTGTAATTAATTTAGTAATATCTAGCAAGCAGTTAAACATAACTAGCAGCATAAAAATCATCTCAACCTGCCCCTTCAATCTGGTAGAAGAATTTTAAGTACGAGTTGCCCATTGGCCTCTTTAAAACATCCTAAATGGGATTCGGAAAAGATTGTGTAACTGAAATTAATCATTTCCATACTTAAATTCCATTAGCAAACTGACCTGATGATAAATTTGGAGATAAAAGTTAAACTTGCAATATCATCTGTTGAATTTTCAACTTAGCCCACAGAGCTTGTCAGAACAGGAATAATGTGAAATGATATTACACATACAGTGAATCAAATGAAACTTTCATGTAATTTATTTTAGGGGAGAAAATGGTATTTTTCTAAGAGTTAGATACAGAGAAACAATCTTACATCTTGGGTTCTAAGAATATCTTGTAGATTTTGATCTTGTCAGTTGAACTTCTAGCAATTGGACAAACAGCAAGGAAAATATTTTCTGTCCCTCAACATTAGCTTCATCTGGTCATATTCTCATACTCTTCCATAGTCCTCAGGCCTTAATTCTTGAGCACTCTTTGCAGTCAGATCAGATGAAATGTCTAAATTGCCAATTACACGCTCTCCTCCATGTCAAAAAGTTAATTCCATCCAGAATGCCACAGACAACAACTAAAAGTGAAATACAAAAAAACCCACATAAAAGCTGTTTTTCCTTACTGACGCTAAGGTATACATCAATAAATGAGTAGAAGAAATGACCACTGCTATCTGGCTCCAACCAGATAGGAAAAGAGAGCAATATTTTTGAAAACTCCTCAGTATATCCCATTTTCAAGTGTCCAGGAATTTAGGATGCTTTTGAAAATTTTACCTGAAGTCATTTAAACAATTTAGTTTGAAATCAGGATTTCTCCCTGCTCTCTCTTCCCCATTCCCAACTCAGACTGCCTGCAACCTTTCCACCTATGCTTACATGCTATCAGACATTCAGCTTCAAAATACATTGCTATTAAGACCACAGTAGATAAGCAAAAAACAGGTTCTAGCTTGGTGTTAAAATCTTATTTATACTGGGAAAGCTATTACCCTGAAGGGATTATATGGATTTCACAGTTTAAGATCAGAGGGACCATTAGAGCATCTAGTCCTGTATATCACAGGTTATTAAATTTTACTCAGATACCTCTATACTAAGCCTAATGACTTTAGTTGGACCAAAACATTTCAGTTGGCTAAACTGTTATGTTCCATGAGCAGAGGGAAGACTGAATGCCATAATGCCTGAGGCCTTAGCAGTTGTAGGGAATTTATTAGGTAAGGCATGCTCAGATGATCCTAGTAGGCGATTCACAGCTCAAGCTCCAAGTGAAAAACAATCCAAGGTCTTTGCTGATCTTATGCAAAAGAAAATTATCCTCAAATTCCTAACCTAGCAGTCAGTTTGACCATGAATATTCAAAAAGCTACACCAGCCAGGATTCTCTGACTCATCTCAGACTCCAGCCCGGCACATCTAATATCCTGTCTGTTATAATCACAGAATCAAAGAAAATTAGGGTTGGAAGGGACCTCGGGAGGTCATCTCATCCGACCCCCTGCTCAAAGCAGGACCAGCCCCAACTAGATCATCCCAGCCAAGGCTTTGTCTAGCTGGGTCTCAAAAACCTCCAAGGATGGAGACTCCACAACCTCTCCGGGTAGCTTGTTCCAGTGCTTTAGTACCTTCCTGATGAGAGAGCTTTTTCCAAATATCCAACCTAAACTTCCCTTGCTGCAACTTGAGACTATTGTTCCTTGTTCTGTCACCTGCCAGTACTGAGAACAGTCCAGCTCCATCCTCTTTGTAACCAAGGTAGTTGAAGACTTATTAAATCCCCTCTCAGTCTTCTCTTCTCCAGACCACATAAGCCCAGTGCCCTCAGCCTCTCCTCAGAAGTCATGGGGTCCCCACCCCCCTCACCATTTTTGTTACCCTCCACTGGACTCACTCTAATTTGTCTACATTCTTTCTGTAGTGGGGGGCCCAAAACTGGACACATTACTTCAGATGTGGCCTCACCAGTGCTGAATAGAGGGGAAGAATCACTTCCATCGATCTGCTGGCAACAATCCTATTAATGCAGCCCAGTATGTTGTTAGCCTTCTTTGCAACAAGAGCACACTGTTGGTTCTTATTCGTCTTTTTGTCCACTGTAACCCGCAGGACCTTTTCTGCAGAGCTACTGCTTAGCCAGTCAGTCCCCAGTCTGTACTAGTGCATGGGATGGTTGCCTCTCTCTTTTGAGTCAGAGAAAGGTGGGGAAAAATATGCAGAGTACAATGCATAGCTAGCTGTGCATCAAGGAAAATAGTTCTGTTCCCTCCACCCCATGTGCCCAGCTCAAGAGTTAAGCAATAGATTCTGTCATTATGTAGGCACTTGGGTTCTCTCAACAGCCTACAGATGGGGATTCTTAGGCAACAAAAAAGGTTGCATTTGTCCTGAGAAAGGTAATTTTCTCCCAGGACAAAGTACAGTCATTCAGACATTCATGTCCACTGTCTCGGGACAAACCCTAGAAAGCTTTCTGGGATAAGTGCTAACAGTTTGTCCCAAGACATCAATAAGTACATCTGAATGACTGTACTAAGACTGCATCATTGAATCAGTGACAGAAAAGCAATGGTACATTCAGCTGCCCACTAAACCCTGATTAGAAGGGTGATGTGTGTACATGCCAATCCTGGGACTTTTCTGTTCTGGGACAAACACACGCAAAAGTTGTCATGGGACAAATGCAATGAATGTTCCTAGCCTTAGATTCTAAAGCCTAAAGGGATCACTACCATCATTCAATGTAACTGGATGACTAAGGTTAGGATCCAGAATGTATGTTTAGGCATCTAAGTGTCCTGATTTTCAAAATGCTGATTTCACTGGGAGGTCCTGGGGCACATGACACTTCTGAAAATCAAAGCATTTAGTCAAGGTGCCTAAATAAGGATGTTGAAGTCTTAACTTTAGGCACCAACTTTTCAAAATCTTGGCCTAAAATTTGTAAAGAACTTGCAGTTCACAAAGTCAGAATAAATTCATATGGGAGAAAGAAGGGGAGCAGCAGAGAACCAAAGGAAGAATTCCATTGCAGCAGATTTAAATTACACATTGTTCGGGGGGAAGTGTGTTTTCATGCATGTTTGTACAACAATTAGCAAAATAAACCTCCTTCCTGACTGAGGCCTTTTGTGATAAGTACTAGTGACAAAAAAATAAATTATCTGATTGGGTGTGTCTACATATGCAATTAAGTGACTGAATAAACTCCAGCACAATTTGAACTGGAGTAAACTAATTTGGACATCACCATCTACACGTGTTTAAGTACAGTAATTTACTCTGCTGTCAGATAGTACTTGTGTGTGATGGTGCAGTAAATTAGTCTATATCGGCATAATTGCCACACATGTGTAGATGGTGATAGATACCTGCACAGCAAATAAGGCCACTGTGCAATAAAGTGCTCATGTAGACACACCCGTTAAATCCTAAATTAAATCTGTAGTATTAATTGCAATCAGAAACTTGCCAATGGAATACCTGGTGTAATCTCTCCCAGTGCAGTCCATTTAGGTTTATTTCCCTGTAATACAAGTTTATTCAACCGATTCAAGGACAGCACAGCCTTGGACCAGCCTCTCAAAATTTAATAGTATGCAACAAAAGAAAAGATACCTATTTTTCCCTGTTCCTCTTCAGCTGCAATTAGAGATTTCTACTCAGTACCGTTGTTTTTTTCCTGGAGAGTTTACCCTAAATGTAAGACCCTAAAGACTTAATTCTAACCTCATTTACAATAATATAACTCCAGTAAAATGACTAGATCTACTGTTGAAAAAGGACAGAATTGGCCTTGGGATTTTATAAGCACATCTTTACAGAAAGTGAAAACAAAATATACTAAAAAGGAACAATCTCTTATATGTGGACCCATAAAGATATGATGCTCTACAAATACTTATGAAGTCCTTAGTTTAGGCAAGTAAGAACAGCAATTTTCATCTTGCAGAGAAGATAGAATACAGACTAGAAAAATACTCAGAATGCATTAAGAAGAGAACAAACAGACACTGAAATCCATTACAGTTCACAAATCATATACAGGCTTGATGTCAGGAAAAGAACTATGTAAAGCCTGCGTTTTCTTGCTCAAACCTTTTCCTTGTATGTACCGTAAGTCCAGTATTTGTAATTTTCTGACAAAATGGCCTGTGTTTTCAAAAAGGAGCTCTGCTTTACGTCTTTATAGAAACACAGAACATAACGCTGGAAGGGACCTCCTCGATCAATGCTACAGTGCCTGCTCCTTTAAGAACAGAAACTGCCTAGGGAGAGTGTCCTAGTCAGGAGAGAGTCAGGTTGTATTCTGTTATAGCCCTGGGGCTCATATTTCGGTTGTTTATAAACTGGTGGACTGGGCTGAGGCTACTGGAGGAGTAGGCCTCATTGGGGACCCACTACAGTGTGGAGACCCCGGTGCCAGGGGGGTGCAGAGACAACAGGGCTGCAGAGAGTCCGGCAATGACAGGAGGCCAAGCTAGACTCGGGCTTCAGAGGGACAACGTCTGAATGCCGTCTGTGAGCCTTGGGGTGTGGTAAAGGGATGGTTTTGGAGCCACGCATCTAGCCCATAAGGCTGAGGGTGTCCCGTGAGGCATCCATGAGCAAGTTCAGCAGGGTCCATCAGGACAGTGTTGAAACACAGACTTGAGGGCAGCCTCCCTATTTATTATAATTACCAGCAAGACGTGGCAGATGAGGAAAAAGGTGCCCGTTGGGCAAGATTGGCATGGTCATGGAGCCCTAGGGATGTCACGGCCAACCCTGGGGACCCCATCCCATGACACCTAGCATCTCTGAATCTTTGAATCTATATCACCGCTGTCTTCATTTGGCTAGTCTGAAAGATCCAAACTCTTTTAAGTCTCCTCTTATCTGATAGGCTCTCTGTTCCCTTGATCACATGGCAGGTCATTTCTGCAGCTGTTCGAAGTTCCAGATACCCCAGGTTCTAGATGTTCAATTTCTTCTTTCTTAAGCATAAGTGACTAGAACTATACACTTTATTCTACATGAGGTCTTACTTCAGAATGATACACTATGTTCTTGGTAAAACTCCAGACACAATATGACTAGCAGTGAGGTAGATTTATTCTGGCTGAAACATCACTAACAATTCTTAAATGGGAAAAAATTATAGACCCTTTACTTTGTACTTGTTGGTGTCTGGTGGCGTAATAACCATAATGTTTATCTGTAAGCGGACAGAAATTAGAGCACATGGAATTTAAGAAATCTGACCATGTTAAGTCTATGGCATAAGAGAATATAGATGCTAAGAGTGAAATCCTCTGAGGTCAATGGCTATAACACCTATTGATTTCATTAAGGCCAGAATTTCAGTCCTTCGCTTTATTCAGTGGACCACTGCTGTAACTATAATGCATCTCAGTTGAGTCATGTGGTTATGTAGGAACTGGACAATAACTGGGATGTAGAAATATTACCACACTGTGCTACAGTCCATGTGGGTTTGCAGTCCATATTTTGCCTTGTGAACTGAGTACACGTTATACAGAGTAACTAAGAAACCAACATGAATCCTCATGATGTCATTTTGACAGTCATTTTTGAGCACAGAGTGTCAAGGGGTAAAAGAGAGACTATTATTTGACTTACATCTAGTAACCTAAGTGAGTTATTTTACATGTACTGGAGTTTAATTTTTTTTTTTGCACAGAAAACCAACAAAGCAAGAAAGCTGCACAAATAAATGAATGAATAAATAAACAAAATTCACTGGAAGAGCAAACATGGCACTTAGAACCTTGAGGTCTCAGAACTATCAGCAAGTTGAACATCCTTAATCTGTATTTCTACTGACACACGTTCTTCAAAAAGATACAGAATTATAGAAATGTACTTCATTTTTAAAACAGAGCTCTTAAATTTCAGGATAAGAGACAGATGCCTTTGCTACTGTACTTCTAAGACCATGCCTCAGAGGCGCACACAATTTTTTTCTACTGAGAAGTGGCAGTGCTTAGATGCAGAAAAATATTAATCTGCTGCTCTTGTAGATGCATTTCCTTCCTTTTGGCCGCAATCATAACCTCATCTTTCAGATACTGAGACCAAAATTACATGCTGGGCTACCAGAGAAATATTTCACGTTGACTATCGTTATTTCCTTAGAGTGATTATATAATTATCCTGATTACAGTAATTATGTAACAACTTCCAGCTCACTCATTTCAAAAGATAAACAAAGATTTTAAAGTTTAAGGTAAGTCTTTTGAGTGTAACATTCATTTCCACTGACATAACTTAATCTTTTCCACCATATCCTACTCCATAAAGGCTTCTGAAAGCCTTCCAATGGTATACTAAGTAACATAACAAATTTAACTTTAGACTGGGATTTTCAAAAGAGCCTAAAGGAATTAGGCACCCAATTCCCAGTGAGATTAAAGCCCACGTCTCATGGCTTTAATACTGTCCATGTCTAATTAGATTTTTAATCTGCAAATCCCTTGTTTTGCATCTGAACTGGCCAATACTAAGTGAAGTCAAAATATGCAATTCTGTACATGGGCAAATAATTCCTTTCTGAACCCCTACAATTATCATATCCCCAAAGCATGCTATCTGAGAACGCTTTTTTTTTTTATCTTGCAGAAGGGATGAGACACAACACAATTTGTTATTAATGACAATAAATACACAGTCCTTTTTATTTGAGTAGCTGGCTAGTTGCGATGGTCATTTCTACAGGAAAACAAAGATTTTGCATGTCTTAAATGCATTATTCTTGAGTATCAATGAGTTCTGTTTGTTCTTGAGTTATATAATTGATAAAAAGGGAATTGATTTTTGCTGACATCCTTCCTGCCTATTCCACTCATTCCACCAAGTGTTGAACTCCTCCAAGTTCTCTTTAATTTTGCTATCAAAAATAAGCAAATCTAAATAAGCAAGACTACTTCCTATTCTGAGTCATTTATCACATAACACAGAGCAGGATAGCTAATATTGTTCCAAGCAAAAGATATTTATTATGATTGTTTTCCATCATATTATTCAGGTTTTAGTCAACAGCACTGCTTTGACCCCTATTCTATAGTCACTCAATTACCTTAACAAATTCTAATCCAAATTCTGACACTGGCTGCCTGATCACTTCAAGGAAGTTACTTTGTCTTTTTGCCTCAATTTTCCAACTCACTGTAATACTTAACTATCACAAAAAGCTCTGGTTAGGATTATTTAACCAGTTTCCATAACATATTACAGCTGTAAAGCACTAAATAATTATTAGTTCCAAGGGAGGTGGTGCTTTCCCCTACCTTGGAGATGTTCAAGAAGAGATTAGACAGGCACCTAGCTGGGGTTCTTTAACCCCAGTGCTCTTTCCTGCATACAGCTGGTGGTCGAATGCAATGATCTACAAGGTCCCTTTGACCCTAGAAATCTATGACTATTGTGTCTAACAATGGACCTCATCAAAAACACTGTAAAACTAAATAAATTATGTCAAATGGTTAGTTGATAGTTAGTATGTTAATAATTTTTAAAAATTCTAACCAGGAAGAGTGCTCATAAAACAACCATAAACTATCCTAGAACTAAGATGAAGTCCATTTCTCTGTAATTTCTATAATTCTCCATAATTTCTTCATCTTTCTTTCTTCAAGGTACAACACTATTACTATTCTTTCCCTCTGCCCAAAAAAACCCAAAACCTGTTCACCTATCTTTAAAATCAAGGGCAGATTAAGAAGACCTTGTTTACTTACATTTCTTAAACATCAAATAGATTAAAACAGTGTATTTACCACAAACAGATTAGACCGGTGTAGGTAGGATAACAAACTAATAAGCATAAACTTTCACTTTATGGACTTCTTTGTCATCACATTCTCTTTGCCTGTTGTAATAATAGAAGGTATTGTCCCTTCTCTGAAGTTTCTTCACAAATCCTGTATCTGGCCAACGATCCACCTGAGAATGCAATAAAAATATTCGTCCATCTACTGAACATAAGAAATAATATCTGTTTAGTGCATTTAACAGAAGGACATGTTTGCATGAACTGTATTTGGCAAATATTTGGTTTAAAAATAATGAGTGCATCCTTTGCTTATAGGTTAAAGAACATAAAATATCAGAAAAGGTTATGGCCAAAGTATTACATCGTATGTAACAACAACATTCCCTATTAGAAGAGTTTCTAGAGAATGATCCAAAAATGCTGTAGCATAACAGATGCTATAGCACTTAAGTCATTTAAAATGAGAATGCACAAAGATGCTAGCAACTATGCTACAGGAAATAACCATTCACTGGTAGTGAAGGACATTAGAAATGACCTAAAATGACTTTTTCATCTCTAATATCTAATACCTACAATTCCCCTTGATTAGTGAAGGGATGCTAGCATTTTCTTCTTTGCCGTACTGAAGAGAATCAGTCCTTCAGTAGTCTGAATAGCTGAAAGATATCAGTTGTTCTGAAAGAATGATGCTTATGTAATGGGTTCTTCAACACTTATCAAACCATGGAAAAGAGACATATCACGAGTTTCTTTGGAGCTGTTAAAGGAACAAACATCAGAGCTTTTAAACAAACGAGCCATAAATAAAATCATGGCAATTAGTGTCAGTGCAATCTTGCAAGGCACTAACACACTTAGATCCCATTGATTTCAGCTCAGTACTTCACAAGAAACTGATTAAGCTATAAAAATTCAAACATTCCATACTTCAGTTCAAAGAGTTTTGGGGAACTTATATGATCTTAGCTAAGCATCTGTAACATGGACGCCAGGGGTATTTCTTGTTATCTATGAGCCCATAATGTCCATTCCTTCTACTCCATGTCTAGCAGTCACTGGGGAGAGACACTAGAGATTCTAATGAGACTATCTTAGAAACAGCAGCTTTATAATTTAACTACATATTTATGGATGTTTTTACATGTGATCCGACAGTGGAGGTGGGCACTTTAATTAAAGCAGCTCCAAGAGCCACTCTAATTAAAGAGCCTGCAGCATCTCATGTATCAGAGTTCTTGCACTTCAAATGAGCTTTAGTTAAAGCGCCCTACCACCATTTCGAAGCTCGGGATCGGATACACGAGATGCAGAGGCTGCTGGAAGCACACTATTAGCACCCTCCTGCAGACTCGAGTAATCAAGTCTGGTTCGACGCCCTGTAATTACAGCATGCTGGAGCAGCCTTCCCCACATGTCTAATGTTCAGCTGAAGTAAGTGCTTAGATAATTTTTCTAAAGGTAAACCCCATTGTATTAATTCTATGTGCACACTTGCATTTTATGGTCTCTATAATATAGCATAAGGGAGCCACACTAAAATGTGAACCGTCAAAAAAAGAACTGACATTCGTTCCAAGGAAGTCTGATGGAAATTGATTTTGGAAATGGTGTTGTCAGCATGTCCTTCCTTCTCAGTGTCCTGCCACTGGAACTGTGGTTTATTTGTCTTGTAGTGTAATGGACGTGTTGTGTAATGTAATGTATTGTGTGAACTGGAAATATGATATGAATGTGTAACAGAAGGGGAGCAACCCTGCAGAGCCCTGCTAACTGTGATTCTGAACTACAAATCTCAGAGGCATCAAGAAGCAGGAAGAGGAAGTGAAGAGCCACTCTGCAGAGTCCTGCTGCTGTGATTCTGGACTGCAAATCCCAGTGAACTTGGGGGAGCAGGAAAAGGAAATGACCACACAGTTCCAGGCTAGCTATGTACCAGGCAGCTGAAGTTGAATGGAAAGAGACAGAGCTGAGAATGACTGGCACAAAAGGGAAGCCTTGGCACAACATGATGAACTACATACTGATTGCATGTGACCTCCGACTTAAGATACCTGTTCAGAGTGACTCTGGACTAAAGACTGGTTCTTGGGGACACCTCTGGACGTGGGGAAAGTAACCTGATGTGCTTAATATATGTATTCCAGTGGTACTGACTACCACGTGTTACTTGCCCTTTAAGTGTATGCTGTTATACACTGAATGGCTATTTACCTCTATTTGTCCCTCACCTGTGGCCCACTGGCTTGTTACCCTAATCCCTAGGACTTTCTATACAAAACTGAGAAAATCCCTTGTTGGCTGTGGTAATTGTGCTGACACTGCAGGCATTTGTTACAGTAGTTTATACCTGTATCAGATCTGTTTTGTTTTATTTTATTAGTGATCCTGTCATGCTAATAAAAGTATCTACCTAGACTTTTATAGAGATTTTGAAGCATATACACTATGAGGAACTGTATGAGATAGGTGATTAATGATGCTATTCATAGCCTAGCGCCTGTAGGTTGTTAATCTTAACACCCAAATAGGGTTGCCAGAATCTGGAATGGGCATCCAAGGGAGGTGGTGCTCTCCTCTACCTTGGGCCTCTTCAAGAGGAGACTGGACAAGCACCTAGCTGGGTCATCTGACCCCAGCGCTCTTTCCTGCCCAGGGCAGGGGGTCAGACTCAGTGACCTACTGAGGTCCCTTCTGATCCTAACATCTTTGAATCTATGAAACTATAATAGTCATCTTACATTTGAGGGTTATTCATTGGCTTATTTCAGGGCTGTCCAACTGGTGGCCTGCAAGCTGCATGCGGCCCCCAAAGGGTTACAGTGCATCCCGCAGGCTCCCATCCAGCCACCTCTTCCCCTCATTGAACTGGCTGCGACAGAAGACAGGGGATCCAGGTTCCATTTCCTGCCCCTGCCCTAGGGGACAAGGCAATGCAATATGGCACAGCCTGCACTACCGGGGGAACCTGCAGCCCAGTGGTGCAGCAGAGAAACTCACAGATATAGACCTAAAGGGGAGTCAAAGCACAAGGCAAGCAATTCAGCAGGAGGTGGACATGAGGAGCAGCAGCGGGGAGGGGCATGCTGTGCAGCAGCAGGAGCAGCAGTGGCAATGTGCGTAGTGGAAAGGAGGGTGCAGGGAAAAGCAGTGGGGGCACACGGTGCAGCAAGGGAACACATGGTGCAGCAGGAAGGCACAGGGAGCAGCAGCCATAGGGCACGTGGTGCAGCAGAGTGGGAAGAGCAGCAGTGGCAGGGTACACAGTACAGCAAGGGGGGCAGGAAGAGCAGCAGCAGAAGGGCATATAGTGCAGCAGAGGGGGGAGAGCAGCAGCAGAAGGGCACACAGTGCAGCAGGGAGCACCCAGTGCAGTAGGGGGCAGGGAGAGCAGCAGCAGGGAAGGCACTGAGAGGTAACAAAGTATCAAGGTGCTTCCAGCAGGGTGAGGGGACATGCAGTCCCTGGCCCCTTGGAAGTTAGACAGATCTGGCTTATTTGATATGCACAGGACTTTTCTGACTTAAATGAAGTGGCATTCAACCTAATCAGCTCTGCAGGCCAGGTAAGTGGAACTGGAACTCATGGTCAGTATGTAGGCCTGACCCAGTGCAATCCTGAATACCAGATCTGGCCATGCCGCCACACACCACCACTGGCTTGACCCCACACACCAGCCTGACTCCATATACCAGATCCAAGCATGTGCTAAGCCAACCCTGAGCACTGCATTCAGCCATGCACCAGCCTGACCCTGCATGCTAGCCTGACCCCAGGTACTGGATCCGGGCATATGTGAGCCTGACCCTACGTACTAGATCCAGTTGTGCACTGGCCCCACACTGTGGAGTGATGATTTGATTTTCTACCCATCTGCTCACCCTCTGACTCACAGACCAAATCTGGCCAATGGAGCCTGTGGGGCTCCTCACGAGTCCGAAAATTTGGGAGCCAGGGTGTGGCAATTAATGCTGCCATGCTTCCACACTGCCAAATGTCCAGACCTGTGGAGAGCCTACCCCACAGGCCAGATGACATGGCTCCATTAGCCAGATTTGGCCTGCAAGCTATCACTGACTTAAATGGGTAGAAAAATCAAGTCCTCAGTGGCCCCATCAAGCAGCTGCATTACCACCACTTCCATGCAAACTGCTCTACCCCACTCCTGTTTCAACAGAGCCCAAGACCTGATTACATCTGATTCTGTTCTTACACCGTTCAGTAGTAAAACTGCCACTGATTCAATGGTACAGGATTCAATCCATGGAATCTAAAGCAACTTTCCATTCTCAAAAAGCAAATCTACCCCACTGGGTCTGTAGTGGGAGGAAGATGACAGAGAGCTGCCCATATTATACCTTTTATCAGCACAAAGTTCTTTTTGAATGTTCTTTTCTAGGCATGTAACTGAGGAACAGGCAGCACACTGCAGGTTGAAAACAGCTTCAATGACAAGTATAATTAATTAGAGTGAAAAAGCTGTTCTGAACTTGTGAATCTACTTAAAACTTACAAGTTATATTAGAACAGAACTAAGAATAATGAAAAGCAATACAAGGTGTTCCTCTATGTTTATTTTGGTATTCTGTATTTCAGGAATACAAACTTAATTATTACAATACATACTCCTTGCAAAACTGTAAATCTTAGACTGTGGAGATCACTTGAACAGGGGTTATGGGGACATGTGCAAAGATGCCTGTGAAGTCAAACTGATAAGAAATGGATACTGCAGCACGTGAAGAGAGTTTGATTATTTTGTATTTGGTATTTAATTGGCTACGGGAATTTAACTGGCAAGTGAATTTGAACTGTTATTAAACTAAAAATAATGAATCTTACCATATCAACATGCTTCACTTGTTTATATTCAATTTCATCTCTGTATCCAGCTTGCTGAAATCTGTATAGATTTTCTACTTCATCTGACCACTTTTTGGCACGCTCCATACATTTTGGTTTGATGTCAGCTCCAGCCATTCCACCAGATGGTTTGCTGAAATTGTTTTAAAAAATAATAAATATAAAAATTGGAGCAAGGAACATTATTGAGATTCTGTAATCAGAATGGGTAAAACATGCTAAATAAGTTACAGACAGTGTAAAAAATAAACAATCTCTCACTGCCAACCACTGGAGTAAAAACTGGCATTTTGGAAGTGGGCAGAATCATATTACCAGTATATGAAACAGCCTACCAACTGCCGACGCTGACTTAGTGCAGAGTCACTTGGATGGACTGGATGCATTTAAGTCGGCAGGCCCGGATGAGCTGCATCTGTGAGTACTGAAGGAATTGGCTGATGTCACAGCAGAACCACTGGCACAGTGATTTCAGTATGCATGGGGCTTGGGTCAGGTCCAGGAGGACTGGAAAAGGGCCAATGTGGTCCCTATTTGCAAGAAGGGGAGGAAGGAGGATCTGAGTAATTATAGGTCAGTCAGTCTCGCTTCCATCCTTGGAAAAGTCTTTGAAAAGATTATTAAAGTTCATATTTGTGGGAGTCCAGGGGGAAAAATAATGCAGCAGGGCAACTAGCATAGATTCATAGCAGGTAGATAATGCCTAACTAATCTGGTTTCGTTTTATGACCGGATCACAAAACACTTAGACGCAGGAGTAGAGGTGGATGTGGTTTTCTCGGATTTTAGGAAGGCCTTTGATCCAATATCTCATCCCTTTCTCATAAATAAAGAGGCTGTGACTTAGATGTTTACACAGTCCTGGTGGGAGGCAAATTGGCTTGGGGGTTGCACCCAGAGAGTGGCAGTAGATGGGTCGGTATTGACCTGGAAGGATATGGGCAGTGGGATCCTGCAGGGCTCGGTCCTTGGACCTGTACTCTTCAATGTCTTCATCAGTGACTTGGATGTGGGCGTAAGTGTACTCTGTCCAAGTCTGTGGATGATGCTAAATTGTGGGGTAAAGTGCACACTCTGGAGGGTAGGGAACAATTGCAGGCAAACCAGGACAGGTTGGAAAAGTGGGCAGAACACAACAGGATGCAGTACAACAAGGACAAGTGCAGAGTGCTGCACCTAGGGCATAAAATTATCCAGCACACCTACTGGCTGGAAAGTGACCCTCTCAGCAGCACAGAAGCAGAAAGAGATCTTGGAGTCATAGTGGACTCCAAGACGAACATGTGTCGTCAGTGTGACAAAATCATCAGCAAAGCTAACTGCACGTTATCATACATCAGCAGATGCATGATGACTAGAACCAAGGAGGTGATACTTCCCCTCTATGAGGCACTGGCGCTGTACTTTAAGAAGGATGTGGATAGCCTAGAGAGGGCCAGAGGGGGCCACTCGTATGGTCAAGGGTTTACAGGCCAGGCCCTATGAGGAGAGACTAAGGGACCTGGCCCTCTTCAGCCTCAGCAA